TCCAGGTGGCCGGTTTTGGATGACTGGCCTAGGTGTTTGACTGGGACCCTGAAATGATCCCCAGGGATTTCCATGACCCTGGCCGGACCTCTCAAACCTGCGTTCCCGCAGTCTACGGTCAATTTTAATGGTCAGTGCTATTAGGTCCTCTAAAGTCTCAGGTACCTCCACCCGGGCGAGCTCGTCTTTCAGGCCGTCTGATAGGCCAACACGGAACTGATGCAGGAGTGCGAACTCGTTCCAGCGAGTATCCCCCATCCACCGCCTAAATTCAGATGCGTACTCCTCCGCCGCTCGGCGGCCTTGCCGGAGTGTGTACAGAGTAGCTTCAGCAGAAGCTGCCCGCTGCGGGTCATCATAAAGGATGGCCATAGCATCAAAAAAACTGTCAACCGAACCAAGGTGAGGGTCATTTTTTCCCCGTAATCGATGGGCCCAGTCTTGGGGTTCACCCTGCAGGAGGGATATGACGAACCCCACCTTCACGGATTCAGTCACGAAGGTTCGGGGTTGTAGCTCAAAATAGAGGAGGCAGGACTCGCGGAATGCTCTGAACCGTGTGCGGTCCCCGTGGAAACGTTCTGGTAAGGGTACTCGGGGGTCGGCCGCCGGGAGTGGTGCGAGTGCCCCAGACACCAGCACAGGGGCTGCTGGAGGTGTGGGGACCGCGGCCTGTGGGGCAGGAACGGATATAGTGCAGGCCTGGAATTGAGTTTCAATCTGCTGACATCTATCCTGCAGGGCCGATACGGCCTGTGTCAAATTGGATAGGTGCCTGCAGATCTCCTCCAGCGGCGAGGGACCTCCTCTAGACTCAGTCATGGCCTTCTGGTACTGTAAGGGACCGCCCGGCGGTACTACTAGCACTCCACTGAATAGGCGTCCCCAGCGCACGGAGTCTAAGTCCCAGGGTGCTTGTTCACCAGGGCCCCTGATGGTGGGGATGGACTTGGAGCTCCCTGAGACCAGGTCGTGACTACCGGGTGCGTCCGTCAGTGGTAGTAGTATGCGCCAGGGGCTCCCACGGGGAAGAGTCTGATGTGAGGAGGTCAGAAGACCCCACTGCACGGGATGGATGGATGGATGAGCAGGGTCAGACGGGCCGGGTCGGTAACAGAGAGGGCGGCAAGGTACAAGGCAGCGAGCATAGAATGGTCGGGTCACACGCCAGGTCAGCAACAGCAGGTCAAATCCAATAGGGGGCATTCAGGAGAGAGGTCAGGCAAAGCAAGGGTCAGAACAGGCGAAAACAGCAAGGTCTGGTTCAATCCGGGTCAATAACTTACAGGGTACAGGTTCACAGGATTCAGAATGCAGGAAAGACCAGAAGGCACTGAATGACAGCTCAGGGTCGTTTAAATATCCCGCCCTGCGCTGCCATTGGTGCCCAGCGGGCGGCCGCGGCTTCTACTGCGCATGCGCGAACTCGAACGCCGCGGCCGGCCCGGAACCAGTGCTCGAGTCCCTGCACCGGGCGGCATACTGCGCCTGCGCCGGGACCAACGCGGCGGGGATCGAGGGGATCCCTGACAGTCGGGTGCGTGCTCGCAAACTGTTGTCTCTTGGAAACGGATTCCAAGAAAGACTGCTGACGGAATCCGTGAAGAGGAGTAGCAGGAGAAGGAGCATCTGAACGAGCGGAAGATGCCAACGAGCGACAACTCCCCTCAGCAGAGGTGTTGGAGCCTTGACTGGCTGATAGAGGGCGATTGACGTCGGGTGACAGAGCAAGTAACGGAGCGGTGTGATGGAGCGGGGGCTGGGGCAGGCAGAACCGCCGTATCTTTATCACGGTTTTCCCAGGCCACCAAATGGCGACGCTGCATATGCTGACGCAACGCGCTGTAGTCCCAACATGGGCCCCCTGGCCACGCTTGACTTTCTGGCCACATAGTCGACATACGGCTACGTTTACTTCCTTGGGCGGCTTGACGAAAAATTGCCACACCGCCGAGTAGGAAACTTTGCCCCCGCTACTCCTCACTGGCTGACTGCTACTTCCTCCGTGCACACCGGCACCACTACTGGCCGTGGTGGTAGGCTGCAGTGGAGCTGGTGCTCTACTCCGTGGCCGTTTGGCTCCACTGACACTGCTGCGACCCTGCTGCCTCCTGGGCAACCCACCGACTGTTTTGCTCGCTGCCAAGCTGGCACCCTCTTCTCCTGATGATGCGGAAGCAATAGCCTGATGACGACGAGGCTGCCAAGTGCGATCAGCCTCATCATCATCAATTAGGGTCTCCGCCTCACTACTAGCCCCCTCGGCTGCGTGTGGGTCAGGAGACAGACCTGTCACTAGACCGGCTACCGAGCCACTCTCCTCGCCACTACTTCTTTGCCTGGCTGCTGAAGAGGCGGATGTCTCCCCCGTTCCTGACCGCCCTCTGTTAGCTCTTCCTCACTGTACAGTGGGGCTGAGCCCACAGCATGCGATACTTCACTTGGTGAGGGAACACCAAAGGACAGGGGCAGGTAGAGGACACGTGATTTCAGTGGGCTTGCTCCCGGGCCATGCCAACTAACAGTGTGTCTGACATACCCACCGACCGTTGGCTGTAGGTGTAAGAGGTGACCTGGGAAAAGGAAGAAGACCAAGCCAACCAATCGATGACGGCAGGGTTGTCGGTGGAGACACGACCGCTGGATGACACCGGGAGCACTGGCCTCTGGCTGCGACTAGTGTTGCCTCGACCCCTTCCTCTGCTGCCACGTCTGCTCGCTCCTGAAACATTGCCTCCTCTGCCACTCCTCTGCGTGTTGTCTGACATACTCTTTAATTCAACGATTCTGTGTCCCTGAGTAACGATTCTGTGTCCCTGAGTAACAATTCTGTGTCCCTGAGTAACAATTCTGTGTCCCTGAGTAACGATTCTGTGTCCCTGAGTAACAATTCTGTGTCCCTGAGTAACAATTCTGTGTCCCTGAGTAACAATTCTGTGTCCCTCAGTAACGATTCTGTGTCCCTGAGTAACAATTCTGTGTCCCTGAGTAACAAATCTGTGTCCCTCAGTAACGATTCTGTGTCCCTCAGTAACGATTCTGTGTCCCTGAGTAACGATTCTGTGTCCCTCAGTAACGATTCTGTGTCCCTGAGTAACAATTCTGTGTCCCTGAGTAACAATTCTGTGTCCCTGAGTAACGATTCTGTGTCCCTCAGTAACGATTCTGTGTCCCTGAGTAACGATTCTGTGTCCCTCAGTAACGATTCTGTGTCCCTGAGTAACAATTCTGTGTCCCTGAGTAACAATTCTGTGTCCCTGAGTAACGATTCTGTGTCCCTCAGTAACGATTCTGTGTCCCTGAGTAACAATTCTGTGTCCCTGAGTAACAATTCTGTGTCCCTGAGTAACGATTCTGTGTCCCTGAGTAACGATTCTGTGTCCCTCAGTAACGATTCTGTGTCCCTGAGTAACAATTCTGTGTCCCTGAGTAACGATTCTGTGTCCCTCAGTAACGATTCTGTGTCCCTGAGTAACAATTCTGTGTCCCTGAGTAACGATTCTGTGTCCCTCAGTAACGATTCTGTGTCCCTCAGTAACGATTCTGTGTCCCTGAGTAACAATTCTGTGTCCCTGAGTAACAATTCTGTGTCCCTGAGTAACAATTCTGTGTCCCTGAGTAACAATTCTGTGTCTGTCCCTGAGTAACATTTCTGTGTCCCTGAGTAACGATTCTGTGTCCCTCAGTAACAATTCTGTTTCCCTGAGTAACAATTCTGTGTCCCTGAGTAACAATTCTGTGTCTGTCCCTGAGTAACAATTCTGTGTCCCTCAGTAACAATTCTGTGTCCCTGAGTAACGATTCTGTGTCCCTGAGTAACGATTCTGTGTCCCTCAGTAACAATTCTGTGTCCCTGAGTAACGATTCTGTGTCCCTGAGTAACGATTCTGTGTCCCTGAGTAACGATTCTGTGTCCCTCAGTAATAATTCTGTGTCCCTGAGTAACGATTCTGTGTCCCTGAGTAACGATTCTGTGTCCCTGAGTAACAATTCTGTGTCCCTGAGTAACGATTCTGTGTCCCTGAGTAACGATTCTGTGTCCCTCAGTAACAATTCTGTGTCCCTGAGTAACAATTCTGTGTCCCTGAGTAACAATTCTGTGTCTGTCCTGAGTAACAATTCTGTGTCCCTGAGTAACAATTCTGTGTCCCTGAGTAACAATTCTGTGTCCCTGAGTAACGATTCTGTGTCTCTCAGTAACAATTCTGTGTCCCTGAGTAACAATTCTGTGTCCCTGAGTAACAATTCTGTGTCCCTGAGTAACGATTCTGTGTCCCTGAGTAACAATTCTGTGTCCCTGAGTAACGATTCTGTGTCCCTCAGTAACAATTCTGTGTCCCTGAGTAACAATTCTGTGTCTGCCCTGAGTAACGATTCTGTGTCCCTGAGTAACAATTCTGTGTCCCTGAGTAACAATTCTGTGTCCCTGAGTAACGATTCTGTGTCCCTAAGTAACGATTCTGTGTCCCTAAGTAACGATTCTGTGGCCCTAAAGTCTCTGTGGCCCTAACTCTGTCCCTAATACACAGAGGTCTGTCTCTCTTGAATGACCGGAGGCTAATGGAGAATTTCTAAGATGGCCGCGATTTATAGCTCCACCATTACACAGTGCTGGCTGGCTGGCTGCTGATTGGCTAATGCGATCACATGTCATGAATGAATGCATTATGGGTCAGCGCGCCTTGTCTGCGCGCCTTCCCAGAGATCCCCGCTCCGTCGCCACACATGTCGCCGCCATTTTTGGGAAAATTCGATTCGTGCATGCGAAGTTTGCTAATTTTCGGATTCGGCGCGAATTGAATATTTCCTGATATTCGAAACGAATTCCACTTCGTCATGTTCGATTCCCTCATCTCTAATCACATACACTATATTGCCAAAAGTATTGGGACACTCCTCCTAATCATTGGATTCAGGAATTCCAATCACCTCCATGGCCACAGGTGTATAAAATCAAGCACCTAGGCATGCAGACTGCTTCTACAAACATTTGTAAAAGAATAGGTCGCTCTCAGAAGCTCAGTGAATTCAAGCGTGGTACTGTGATATATTGCCACCTGTGCAATAAGTCCAATGCGTGAAATTTCCTTGCTACTAAATATTCCACGGTCAACTAGTTAGTGGTATTATAACAAAGTGGAAGCAAGTGAGAAAAGAAGGCCACGTAAAATGACCGAGCGGGGTCAGTGCATGCTGAAGCGCACAGTGTGCAGAAGTTGCCAACTGTCTATAGGGTCAATAGCTAAAGACCTACAAACTTTCTGGAGTGATGAATCATGCTTCTCTGTTTGGCAATCCAATGGACATGTCTGGGTTTGGCAGTTGCCAGGAGAACGGTACTTACCTGACTGCATTGTGCCAAGTGTAAAGTTTGGTGGAGGGGGGATTATGGTGTGGGGTTGCTTTTCAGGGGTTGGGTTTGGCCCCCTAGTAACAGTGAAGGGAACTCTTAAAGTGTCAGCATACCAAGACATTTTGGACAATTTCATGCTCCCAACTTTGTGGGAACATTTTGGGGATGACCCCTTCCTGTTCCAACATGACTGCACACCAGTGTACAAAGCAAGGTCCATAAAGACATGGATGAGCGAGTTTGGAGTGGAAGAACTTGATTGGCCTGCACAGAGTCCTGACCTCAACCCGACAGAATACCTTTGGGATGAATTAGGGTGGAGACTGTGAGCCAGGCCTTCTCATCCAACATCATGACTGACCTTATAAATGCACTTTTTGAAAGAAATGGTCAAACATTCCCATAGACACACTCCTAAACCTTGTGGACAGCCTTCTCAGAAGAGCTGAAGCTACAGTATTATAGCTGAAAAGGGTGGGCCAACTTGATATTGAACCCAACAGAGTAAGACTGGGATGCCATTAAAGTTCATGTGCATGTAAAGGCAGGCGTCTCAATACTTTTGGCAATATAGTGTACTTTAAATAATTTTTTGAAATTAATTTAAAAATTGATCATATAAACACCTAACCTATAGATAACCTGTTTACTGTAATTGTAATTCTCCTGGGACTGTTTATACAAACCAGGGCCAACAGATAATATTCTAGAACTTACTTTCTTAAGCCTCATTCACATAATGCGATTTGAAATTCCAAATGGCGACAGAGCACGTGTTGCATGTTTGGGTGCTGTTATTCTTAATGGCACCCCAAATGCGGCATGATTCTGCCACAACTGTTGTGCGGCAATTGCAACAAAGCGCACAGTTAAAAATCACACTAAGCTTGTCACCCAAAAAGGAGAAGAAGCTTCTTTTGGACAACAAACGTGCCAAGGGCAGCACATTAAAATGAATGGGCTGCCTTATGCATGACACGCGTTTCCCTATATAAATCACGCTTTAAAAATCAGTATATAAGGTCTGAACAAGGCCTTGGAGTATATACAAATAATCATGCATATTTCTCCACTTTTCACCAATACTCTCTAACCTGGAATATCCCATGAGTCATACATAATACTGAGGGAGTCAAATGCAAAGCTAATAATCACCTTTAAGTCTTTCAGTGCTGTATCTATTGCATTAAATTGGGTGGAATTCCTTTTGTACATAAAATGCATCTGCAAGCTATATTTGATACAAACAGATGTCGTAATAGTACTGAATATGATATGAACGATTTAGAGTGAAAGGGTTTAGGTCTGTAGAGTAGACTCAGGAAGGAGGGGACAGGGAACACATGCTCTGTCATTGCAGCCACAGGGGTTGTGTAATACCTGAATAGCATTAATGGTATTAATTTTGTTTTAGTAAGAGTGGGCGTGATAGAACTTTACCAACAGAGCACTGTGTACACAACTGTAAACTAAAAGCACTGATACATGGACTAAGCTACAGTCAGGACTGGAAGTTGATGGATTGATATCTGCTCCTGTATCCGGAAAACATAAACAGATGTAATACCTTCCAGTTTACACAGATTTCAAGACAACCGCAGCAGGGAAAAAATGAAACAAGGATCAGGACAGTAAGGTGAGTTGTCCAAAATTTCCAGATTATTTATAAATATAAATGTAAATATTTGAGTATATATGTATATAGTTACACACTCACCCAGTACTGTGTACCTGTGTATGTGCGTGTGTATGTATATATATATATATATTTTTTTTATTTTTTTTTTTAATTATTATTATTATCATTTTAATAAATAAAAATTTACATATATATTTGTGTTTTATATATATATATATATATATATATATATATATATATATATATACATACACATACATACATACACACACACATATACCATAAAAAAACACAAATATATATATATATATATATATATTTGTATTTTATTATGGTATATGTGTGTGTGTATGTATGTGTGTATGTATGTATGTGTATATATATATATATATATATACACACAGTACTGTGTATATATAAAGTACAATATATACCTATGCACACATCCTTATGTTAGCATACTTATCTATAGCTTATTGAGGTGTGTAGTGGTCAACCCATTATAAAATATTACGTGAAAAAATGTGAAAGCAGAGTAAAAAAAAAAGTCAATAACTAACTTAACCAGAGTAACCAATCTAGCTATATTTTTTCATTGTTGAAAACATATACAGGGGCGTATTTACCGTATGGCAAACAAGGCGTTTGCCTAGGGTGACATTTTTCAGGGTCGTCCCCCCTCCCGGCAGAAGTGACACATGTGGCAAACAGTGACTGAGGATGGGGAGCAGTTGAGGCACAGGCACAGCAGTGTTGGCTTCTGCGGGCTGCTGCAGGGTGTCCGACTCTCATTTCTGGATCATTGTCAGAGATTAACAGAGAAGGAAGACATCTGACTTTCTTGATTATGGCTCCCGGGGTGGCCAGCGGATGAGTGCTGGAATCTCCCCCCCCACACACACACACACTGGGGGGGGGTGTGATTTTACTCTTGCCTAGAGCTGCACACAACCAGAATACACCACTGAACATATATATAAAAGAGTAGGTGCCCTTGTTTAATAGATGTAATCTCTACAGGTTCATATGGCCTTTGGGTTCTACATAAGGTATAAAAAAAGTTCAGCAGAATAGCACAAGGCACTTTCACACAAAAAGGTCATTAGGTAGGTTGGAAGTGTTCAGCTAGTAGTCCATTGTTCTCCAGTGTATATCATAGGCTTAGAGTATCATTTAGGTCAGAAAAAATGTATGTAGGAGAATTTGAGCGTACATGTTGCTGTTATCCTTGATTGACAAAATTATTTTTTGACAGCTAGATAATCCTCTGATATTCAGCAGCCATTTAATAACTGTGGGTATATCAACTGGCATAACATACAGTATATACAGATAAAAACATGCATACATGGAAGAAGCATCAGACCAAAAGAAAAGAGTCCAAATGTATTTAATGATATTGTGCTAAAAGACAGCCAACGCGTTTCAGGGGTCTGGCGCTCCTTCCATGTATGCCTTTTCTGTCGTCAACAGCCTAACCTGAGCCAGTGGGCTCTTCAAATGTTTTTGCCCTCTCACTACTTTATATAAACTCATATAAAAATCCCAGCACTTATAGGATTAGTTTTTGTCATTGGAATAACATATATACATACTATGTTATAATCATTGTGTACTGAACACTACACAGATGCCTAACATTTTTCAAAATTAATTTCTAAGGTAAACACAGCCTTTTAAATATTTTTAGGTGAACATGTGAAAGTGATCATCTTAAGTAGAACTATGAGCAATATAAACATCAGATGAGAAGTCAATGACCTAATGTAATATGGAACCGCATCCAAGATATTGACAAAATTATACCCGGCTGCAGGCTTTATAAAAAAAGTACATAAATGCAGCAGTTTGTCACTGTCAACTGTTTTCTTTTTCTGAGTCCCTTGCACATGTTTTTAATAGTTGGTCCTGCCAGTAGATTAATTTGATTTCCACTTCCTGTAACAGATTGACAACACTATTTTTTTTAATGGAATTACTGCCATGGTGTCACCCAGTGGACACAGTAATTATAAATGGATATATAGTGTTAGATGGACTTTAAGTAAGTGACAAAAATATAAAACTTAATTAACACTTAAGCCAACACTTTTTAAGCAGTTATAGCAACATTTTTCTTTTGGGATAAAAGGTTTAAACCACTTGAAAAAAATCTGAACTTTTTCGGGTATATAGTTTGTCCCAGCTGTCAATTTTGCTGCCCTGCTTACCTATACATATAGGCAGGCAGAGAAGAACATAAAAAGGGAATGAAGGCTTCGTTCACATTGGCATACTACACGCACACCCGTGCACGGGCCATGTTTGTCCAAGCAAACCCGATGCAGGCAGTCCCTTTCATGTCAATTGGGATGCAAGGGATGCAAGGACACAGTCACTGCTCCCAATTTGACATTCGCGTGGGTGCACAGCCCCATATGCACACTGTCTCTCATAGAACCTGTGCATTTCTGTGAAGGCAAGCATGCTTTAGTACGCCTGTGTGAATGAGGCCTTATTCAGTATTATAGTAACAGTTATTGACCACATACAGTTATCAGAATACAATAGTTTTCACTATTGTATCACTTTATTGTAAGCCATCCATAAGTGCATGTTCATGTGTTAAAATTCTTATTTCTTTATATAATTTGTAATTATGTATTTGCATGGGTGCAGCCACTATTTCATGTAAGCATTGTGTAATGCTTAGTAGTCCTACACAGAGCTGGTACCTTACTGATCTTCCCTCACAATGCAAGTGTGCCACTCAGGTCAGATCAGTTTAAAGTAATAGACTGGGCTGAGGCTGATTTACTAAAAGAATTGATTATCCAATGAGAAAAAAGCTAATTCTCCTTTATTTCCTATGCACGTGACTGGGTATTTAAAGAGAACATAGCTGCAATTTATTAAACGAAGTCTTTCAACTTCTTGATACTTATGTGAGAAGTTGGTGATCAGTGACTGCATTAAACTATGCACAGACATAGAAAATTCACAAGAATGTACACCGATCAGCCATATAACTTTATGACCACCTAATATTGGGTAGGTCACCCTTTGCCACCAAAACAGCCCTTAAACATTGAGACATGGATGCCACTAGACCTCTGAAGGTGTGCCATGGTATCTGGCACCAAGCTATCAGTGGCAGATTCTTTAAGTCCTGTAAGTTGCAAGATGGGGCTCCCTGGATCGGACTTTTTTTTTCAGCGCATCTCACAGATGCTCAATGGATTGAGATCTGGAGAATTTAGAGGTAAAAGTTAATACCTCAAACTGGTTATTGTGTTCCTCAAACCATTGTTGAACTATTTTTGCAGTGTGGCATGACGCATTATTCTGTTGAAAGAGGCCACTGCTATCAGGGAATACTGTTAACATGAAGGGTTGACTTGGTTGGCAACAATCTATAGGGAGGCCGTGCATGACAAAGTAACATACACATGAATGGCAGGACCCAAGTTTTCCCAGAAGAACATTGCCCAAAGCATCACATTGCCTCCACCAGCTGGCCTTCTTCCCATGCTGCATACTGGTGCCATCTCTTTTGCA